AAAGAAATACAACTTATAAAAACTAGTTTTCATCGTAACATTATATGACAGTACAAGTTATGCGGAGTTTTTTTCTTTTTATTTATTTATTTTTGCCTGCTGGCTGTGATGGGGATCCAAACCTTTGACCTTGCTATTATAAACACAGAGGTTTTTTGTTTTGTTTTAAAGTATAATCGCATTTGTGGTGCTGAGATGATTCAGGTGTTAACTTCCTGAAACTTGATTACAAATCAATTTTAAAATACTTCAGAATTTGGTTCCAAAATAAGCAAGATCGGGGTTCTTACAATAGTCTGAAAGTGGTAACATATATGGCAAAGGCTGAAAGATGCATCTAAGTGAGTAATGAACTAGACTAGATAGTCAGCCTGAATGAGAGGATGAAATGTTGGATAACACCTAAAAGGTACATGCCACAACATATGAATAGGACACAAATCTACCATTATACCCCCGTTGGTCATGTACAGACCCGGATAAACAATAAAATATTTTCTTTTTTGCATTCCTTAAGAGCCTCAAATTCTGACACTATTTGATATTCCCTGCCTCGGTAAAATCTATTATAATATATTTTATTGACATGTGGATTAATTTGTGTTAATTAGATTTTTCTTCATACATTCCTTAAGTAAACAGTGCTCTTACTCCTTGTTAGAATATCAGGTTATCATTAAAAAAAAAAAAAGGAGCAGCTGGTGACAGAGAACTGATGTTTTGGGCAGGCTGTGCCCATCTCTTACTCTGACCTTTCCCAGAAACGGTTTTGCATAGTGTCCATAGCTATCTCTTCAGTGCTTAATCATTGTGATGTTAATTAAAGCATTCTTAAGCTATGAATGTGTACACTTAAAAAATATTCAAAACTCTGGAATTAGAAAAAGTATAAATGAAGGAGCGATTCTTCTTTTTCCTCTTTCCTTCTTCCTGACTTCTTTTTATTTTTTAAATAATTTTTATTTTATTTTTTTTATTTTTGGCAGCTGGCTGATAACTGGGATCAAACCCTGGACCTTGATATTATCAATACCACGCTCTAACTAACTGAGCTAACAGGACAGCCAGTGACTTCTTTTCTTTTACTCCTTCTTCTTCCCTCCCTGTCCACCTCTTTCTGCCATCATCACAGTCATCACCATAACAGCAAACATTGTTGAGCCCATATGGCAGGCAATTTATATGTATGAATATATCAGACAATTTCTGAGACAACCATTTCATCCCCATATTACAGATCAGGAAACTGACCACATTCCACAGCCAGGGTTTTATAGAGCTGGGTTTCAAGCCCAGGCAGGGAGAATCCAGGGATTCTTCTTTTAATCAGTAAGTCTTACTTGCTTAAGTTCAGCCATGCTTTAGGAAAGAATTCATCTCTTTAGGACTAAAGAGTTCTCAGATGATTTTCTTCTGTTATGATAACTGAAGCATTCACTAATTAATAAAATATTGACACACAAATTACCAGATACATATCTTCTCAATCAAACAAAAGGCTGTCAGCAGTGTGTAGATCTCTCTATTCAATTTAAGGTCATTTTCCTTTATACAGTCTGAAAGTGGTTATGACAACAAATTGCTCAGAATCACTCCTACGTCTTTTTTTTTCTTCCTATAAAAAAGATATGGAAAATCTTCCTAAATCAGCTGCTAATTTCGGAAAGTAGTGGGAAGAGGGACTGAGGTATGAGGAACTTTGAAAAATACTGAGTTATTTAAAAACATGTATTTTTTTAATCCACAAAATAATAACAACCACTAATTTATTATGATTGTTGCCTTTGGAGAATAAATAATCCAGGATTGCTTAGTAGAAACTAAAAGGAAATTTACTCAGTAAAGCTTTCTGAATGCCCACAATGTGCTGGGGACTACAATTTAATGACCATGCAAGAAAGGCTCATGCTATGGTCTGAATATTTGTGTTGCCCTAAAATTCATATGTTGAAACCTAATCACCAACATGAAGGTATTAGTAGGTGGGGCTTTGGAGAGGTGTTTATGTCATGGGTAGAGCCCTCATGAATGGGATTAGTGCCTTCATAAAAGAGGCCCAAGGGAGCTCCTTCTGCCATTTGAGGACCCAACAAGAAGACACCTTCTATGAAACAGGAAGCAGCTCACCAGATACCAATCTTGATCTGGGACTTCCCAGCCTCCAATACTGTGAGAAATAAATTTCTATTGTTTATTAGCCACCCAGTTCATGGTATTTTGCCATAGCAGCCTGAGAAGACCAGGACTATATATAAACTCAATTAGAATACATATTGTGAATGTACATTGATACTTCTAAATTGCTTAAAATCACTTTCAGTAAATAAGCATTCAGCAGGATCCTCAATCTTGCATATATCGTTAATTTACTGAACAAATTCTTTTCTTGATTCTGCTCTGTTCTGAACAATCACAATTGAAATAATCATACACTAAATTGATGGGGCTTTACTATTATTATTAAAACTCTATTCAGCTTTCTCTTCTATATTCTAAATAATTTCAAATCATATTAACTCTTTATTGAAGGAGGAGGGTACTATTTCTCAACTACTTAATTGCATTAAATGATTTCCTTTGGACCGTACTCAATTTTCTTTCTGCTCTTCTTAAAATGGGATTGCCCAGTACGGGCAATAAAGGCTGCACAAACGCTGAAGAGGTAACAGTAATGTTAATAATAGTACTTGATTGAACGGCAGCAGCCACCACCATCTACTAAACACTTATGTGCAGACATTGTTAAGTGCTATATACATCTTCTCATGTAATCCTCAATTTTATACAAAGTTTTCAAGCTTAAATGCATTACTTCTCTAGATGGACAACATATTAACATCTCGAGTGGCTGACTTTTCTTCAAGATTCAACAAGTTTTCATCACGTAACTCTAATTTTATAACCCTTGACAATAGGAAGGGCAAGGAAACCAAAAAAGGAGATTTGTGCCTAAAAGAGGCCATCAGGTGAGTAAGCCTGAAGGGGTTATCTTAACACATAAAGACATACAAGAAGGAAGGAGGTCTCTCTCTCTCTAGAAATAAGAGAACAAACTGGAAAGCCAGAAAGTGCCACTAGTTAGGAGAAAAGGGAGCCAATGTAGGATTTTTTCAGTAGCAAAGTAGTAACACCAAGTGAAGCTGAAATGATGATGTGGGAAGGAATATTTCAATAGCCTTAGTGTTCATACCTGGGAATAAAGCTATCGCCTAATCCCAGTGGCCCCCTGGTAATGTATAGGTCTTACTGATGGTAACTAATGAGAAAGGAAAGAATAATAATGATCATCACCATCATAAAATAGCAGCTGACATTCTTTCAGCTCTTACTGTATGCTAGATAATTGTGTAGAGCATTTAAAATTTTTGAAATATCTTTATTGGATATAAATATAGTAAAAGCTGCTTCTGAAAAAAATTAAATAAAATAAAATAAACCTTTGAAATATCACCATGATGAGATAGGTGCTTTATTATCCCCATTTTATAGATGATAACTGAGGACCAGAGGGAAAAGAAACAGAGCAACAGTTAACATACAAAGGGTTAGATACATCATCTAAAAATAATTCAGATTTACCTGCCATTTCAGTCAAATAATATAGAATCAAACAACCTCATTCTACTGCTGTTGTAGCAGTGATGGCTGCAAACAATATGGATTTCCAATTCTGATTCACTTACTCCATAAGGGCTCAGCCAGCTAGCAGGTGAGGTATGGGTAAATGTGCAGCCCCAAGCACACAACACGATTCTAGACAGAAGGGCTGACATCTCCTCCGCTCTGGATATCTCACCAGCACTCTTCGTATGAAGCTCCTAAAAATGTCCTGGGTTCAGGGCCGGCCCGGTGGTGCACTGCTACAGTGTGCCGCTTGGGAAGCGCAGCGGCGCTCCCGCCGAGGGTTCGGATCCCACATGCAGACCGGCCGCTGACGGGCTGGGCGAGGAGCGGGGGCAACACCGAGGGTTGCGATCCCGTTGCCGGTCCCGGTCCGGTAC